TTTTATTAGCCCTTTTCTCATTTCCTTACTCGGTCCTTTTCTTTACTTCCCTTCCCTCCTTCGTCTTTTATCCTCCCATCCTCCCTTTTGTCCGTTCGTTAATCGGTCCTTTTCTTTAATTCTCTTCACTCCATCGTCATTTATTCGCCCTTTTCTCATTTCCTTACTCGGGCCTTTTCTTTACTTCCCTTCACTCCGTCGTCTTCTTAGTGCTGTAGAGGTCTTCCTGTGCTACTTTTCAGCTAAAATATGGCTAACCTCGCCCGCTTGGAAGTAACCTCAAATGCTCTGCGTTTCGGACAACATGCTCGTTATTGCGGCAAGAGGAAGGAATTTTTTGCTGGCCTGGATCGAGATTGAGCTCGTTTTTCTCGGTCGGATTTCCTTACGGGTCTCGACGAGCAGCGGTGAAGTCAGACGCCGAGGCTGGTTTTCTGACGTCTGGTGTGAACACAAGTTTTCTATTTAATATGTAAGTGTATTTATGAGTGGCACTGATGCTCAACATACATGAAAGATATTTAACTCCTTAGCTAAGAGTAACTCACAACTACTATTATTGTATTTATTATCTTAATGAAAAAAAATGTATTGCCTTCTTGCATGAGTTTATTCGTTGGAAATGAGTCCAAAATAGCGAGGCTCATGTTTTGGCGGATAGTGTAATTTGTAAATCTATAACCACGTCTATACGTTTTCGAGTGCTTTTAGCTTACTGAGTAGTTTCACACGTGGTTTTACTTATTAACTAGCAACCTTTTCATAATTATTAACATTATGAAATTTTATTGAGTTATTTCATAATTATTAACACTTTGGAAAGCGGAAAATACTTTTAATTGCTTTTCAATTATTCCCAACTTTCTGACTCGATGCGGAAATGACATTAAAATCATTCGCATGAGGCATGAGTCGCACGAGCTATATTTTTGTCGTAATGATTTGCAGATCCTGCAATAATTCAAGCTTTTGATACAAAGGCGCAAAAGAGAACAAAGCTTCCTTAATTGCTGTCTTTGTTTCAATTATTGAACGTGAATCAAGGCAGCTCGATATCCCGTTACTCTCATATTTGCTCGGGATACGACGATAATGAGAACGAAAATCATATTCTAGTACAAAATTACTGCGCTCACAATGTAGCGAATAAAACCTCGTCACTATAATTTACTATGAACGAGATTATCTTTTGATGAGGCTGCGTCCTATAATCAAGCTATGATCAGATCATGAAAATATAAAATGAACGCAGATTCATGCACTGATTTATTCTTTATTGTGTTGTTGTGTAGGTTCACTTTGTTCCGCTTATGGATTGATAACTAAAATGTGAAAATAGATAGAATTGTTGAAATAAAAATACCCTAAAATTTAATACTTTACACTAAAAAATAACTTTACTGCACGCTCGTAAAGTGTAAGTAACACTAATTTCACGGCTTCCTCGAAAGACGCTACGCTTAGCACGGTTCAGCATCCACCTCTAAGGGAAAAAGGACTTTCAATAATTTTGTACCATATTTCTTCCTTTCAATTAATAAGTGAAACAACAAACAAGTTGCAATTTGATAACATTTAAAAAAAAACAGAAAATGAATCCACAATAGCAGCATTGGCGTGGTTATAGCATATAAATATCAGATAATTAAATAAATAATCATACAGAAACGCGAAGGCTAGTAAAGAATGAACTAATATCAATGAACAGTCAATTACATCGTAATTACCTGTCGTAACTCCGACAGGTAATCATCGTAACTCCGACAGGTAAACCCAAGGTTTAAAAATTGTGCCTTTTAATAATACATTCTTTGTCGTTGAATGAAAGAATGTGCGTGAATGAAATAAATATGCCTAACAGACTATCACATAAAACAGAGTGAAAAACGGAAATTTCCTGATTTGAGAGCTCAATAAAAAAAGAACTAGTTAAAATATCATCACAATATGGAATTATTGAAAAAGACATCACATGAATTTTTGTATCACTTAGGTTTAAGTATTACATCGGACATATGACGGCCTCAAGGACAATGCATTCAGTTGATTTTTGAAGTTCCGTTCAACTCGCTGAAGCATATTGACGGCCCGATCTCTAGCCGGCCCGATCCCCCGATTTGGCTCCGTGTAATTTTTATGGGGTTAAATCAATTGTCTGTGGTTAAATCGATCAGTTAAATCAATTGTTTACAATGATCGTCTAAGGACTTCACCTCAGTTAAAGAATAACATACGCCAGGCCATCGCCAACATACCCGTCAATAGCAGCGAGTTGAATGGAACTTCATAAATCGACTAACTGAATGCATTGACAATGGGGGTCGTCATTTGTCCGATTTCGTCTTTAAAACTAAATGATACAAAAATTCAGGTAAGATCTTTTTCAAAAAAATTAATATTGTAATAACATCTTTACTAGTTGTTTTTTTATTTGGCTTTCAAATCAAGAAATCTATGTGAATCACCCTGTATTTGGAACCTCATAAAATAACTTTTTACGAATTTGTTCTCAGTTTGGCGATACACATTCGGAATTACTCCCAATTTTGGAGTATAAAAATAATTTACAACGTCAACAAGGTACATTTTTTATGACTTTGATCTCAGAGAGAAAATTTATACCTTACTACCTTCTTTCTTCTGCATGTAGGTCAGACGAAATAGGATTAGCAAACAAATATGATTTGAAAATTCAAAGACATTTTATAGCATATAAGACATTTTATCAGGTTCTTTTCTTAGGGTCAGGCTACTCTATGAGATCTCGATGAAAAAATAACACACACAATGAAATTGATGCTATTGTACACGTAAGCGATCAACGGTGACTTACATTTACAACATTTTATAGTATTCTCAGGTATTTTTACACTTTACACAGGCAAACAAACTCAATCGTCGTACTCGAATGATACTGCCATTCCGTACGAAATTTTACATACAACAACATACGTCACAAATATTCACGCAATTAACAGCATCGGTAAGATTTTTGTGAGACTGAAAGACCACGATAGTTTTTAGTTATTCTTTAATCCGAATATTTATTCAGTGCTCTGCATTTTGGACTTGTATCAAATATTCCTTATTAACTGTCTTAAAACTTTTATATCGTTATTTTTCTTATCCAGATAAAAAATTTTGTAAAATTTACCAGGAAAAAATAGTATAGTATTTATGTTAGGAACTATATAGAAGAAACACATTCTTCCATATCATCGCCAAACGAACTGGACCATTTAGATTATTACAAATCGACATTTTCACTAAATTTACATCGATCGGGGCTGTCCTTTTAAATTATTTGGCAGTCAAAATCATATAAATATTTTGTCTTCAATCATAAATTGATTGCCCGTTTATGCAGAAGAACCACCACCTGTTTCTAATTTAATGTTTACGATTTTGACAGCAGTGCTAAGTAAATTGAAGATAACCCAAAAAAACTGGTGCCTCATTTCAAATAATCTTCAATTGAAGTATTTTATTTCAAATATGAAAATAATCAATAACCCTTTCTTGGCATGGAAATAAATGGGCGATCACGCTGAGTTATTTCTAATAAAATATTGAAGTATTTATTATATTTCTGTAACAGCGTCCCTCCTGTAACAGCGTCCGCATTCCAAAACAGAAGGTGCAAGTAAACTGGAAAATTTGTTTGAGGAGTCAAAAACAAAGCAAATGACGCCCTCATTAGGAACAGTTGGGAAAGTACGAAGCATTACATTCCATTGGCAATTCATTATCAATCCAACCAGTTTTGATACCGATTCAAGATTTTTTGTCTTAATTTATGAGAGAGACTTGGCTCAACTGCCTAAATTTTAACTTTCTCCATCCAAAGCAAGAGCTTGTCTACTTCTGAAAACATGGAACAAACAATTCACCCGAAGCCTACACATTCATGTTGTCTGAATTTTACGACCCTCACTTACATGCATGTCACTTTGATCGATTTTGTCATACATTGCTAGATTATTTAAAGATAAGTTGCTGATTTCTTCAAACTTTTTCTGTTTGTAGAAAAATCTATTCAAGAATTTCTGATGCAGTCAAAATTTTTCGCCAATTCCCTTCAAACTTTTTATTATTGTTGATTTATTCAAAAAATTTAACAAAAGTTTCCGATACCAGTCAAAATTTTTTGCCTATTGCCTTCAAACTTTTATTTCTGTTGATTTTTGATTTTTTCAAAAAATCTAATAAAAAATTTTTGATACCAGTCAAAATTTTTTGCCAATTTCCTTCAAACTTTTTGTTTGAGTTTATTTTTTAGAAAAATATAATAAAAAATTTCTGAGACCAGTCAAAATTTTTGGCCGATGTCTACGTCATCTCACTTCAGCATCTGTTGGGTGCCGCGACACCGTAGTGCGCCAGCTGTCGGCTGTCTGCGCATTGAGCCCGAACGAGAATATTTCACTGCCGAGCTACAAGCTTCCTGCGCTGGCCAGCAAACGTCTCTGACAAACGCCACTGCGACACAAACGCTGGCATAAGAGCGTTTCTGTGGCACTGCCAACAGAGAGCATACTGACTGGGACCAAAGCAGCTGTTTATTTGCTGCCATCGACCAGGCGAAGGCGAAGCCAGTAAGCCGTTCGCACGCTTGCACCAACAAATAAATTATGTCAATGAGTAGTTTTCATTCGTCATGTATATTTTTGTTAACAACAACATATACTGTAGATCACGGTAACTTTTATCTCCTAATCTGTACCGATGACAATCGCCATTAGGTCTATTAGGGGGCTTTGGCCCTCAAAAATATTCTCAAGCACCCCAAAATAATTTCATGTTCATCTATAAAAATTATCATTTTTCACAAAAAGGGCCCGAAAATTAAAAATAAATGTTGGCTGAATGTGAGTTCAAATTAATAATCATTCAGCCAGTCATTATAACCTTTATGGTAATCATAAATCTCAGGTCTCTGCCTCCTCAGTTTTTAAAACCTTCTGACGTTCCTGGTTCACGTCAGTAAAACCGTCCGCTAACTAGGGCTGGATTGCGGGAGGCAGAGCAAACATCAGCCTCTCCTGAGGGATGTGCTGTCTCTCCTGAGGGATGTGCTGCCTCTCCTGAGGGATGTGCTGCCTCTCCTGAGGGATGTGCTGCCTCTCCTTAGGGATGCACTGCCTCTCCTGAGGGATGCACTGCCTCTCCTGAGGGATACGCTGCCTCAGAGGGCGGCTGACAGCAGCAGGGCTGCCAACAGTTCCGAAGTTCCCAGGACCGCCACAGCAGTCCCTGAGCTCGGAAAATTGAGCATTATTTATTAAATCTAATTTGTTTTCGCAGAGAACAGTGCCGCAAAATTTAGCATAATACAATGGTCTTATAGATGTGTTCATCACCGCATGGAATTAGCTCAGTCGAAAGAACATAATATTATGCAATCCGAAGTTGACTAGTAAAAATTGCTATAATTCGTGTTTTTATGTCAGTCATAAATTGTAGTTTATTCAAAACTGATTTTTTATTTTCCGTGAAATCAGCATGAATTCTTTCATAACGAACAATACATCCCGACTATTGCAAGGACAGTGCTCCATGCGCCGCTCCCTCACCTGCGTTAGGCGCGCTCGCTAAGGACTTGTGCTCCATGCGCCGCTCCCTCACCTGTGCTAGGCCCCCTTCGCTAAGGACTTGTGCTCCATGCGCCGCTCCCTCACCTGTGCTAGGCGCGCTCGCTAAGGACTTGTGCTCCATGCGCCGCTCCCTCACCTGTGCTAGGCGCGCTCGCTAAGGACTTGTGCTCCATGCGCACGCGGATGGTCTTGGACGCCCGCTCCTCGAACTCGCCCAGCGACAGGCGGCACTCGACTACGACGCTGCCTCCTGCGTCCACCACCAGCAGCGGCGGGAGGTGAGAAGTTGTTGTTTGTTATTGTATTTACAGAAAATTTTGAGCATGTGTGTTTTTTTAAATTAAGTTTCATCACTTTCATGTTATTTGTAACATGGTATAGGGAATCATGAGTGATCATTTGTGTATTTTTTGTGAGTTAGCAATGTTGGCTAAAAATATGGTGATGAAATAAATATATTACACAGGAACTTGAAAGTTTAGGCTCATTCGAGAGGAAGGAAAATTCCGAGCGTATTAATAGACACAAGGCCTCCGTAATATGGCATTCCTCTTCTAAGATTATGTCCAAATTCTGGCTCATGCCTAGGCAGATGCTAAACTAATTACAAAATAATCTGATTGAAATTGAAAACTTTCAGTATTCTAATTTTTCATTTTGTTTTGATCATAGAAGTCGCAGACGAATTATATCATTTTATCAATTGTACACCTGTTGTCCGGGAATGTTCAATGAGATGCCAGTGTAGCTCCCATCAAATGATCGACCGTATTTCTCTTGAAGTCCTGGAGGAGCCTAGTTTGGGAAAAAATTCACTATGACTTCCTCGTTGATAACTGCCACGATCCCAAAAAGTCATTTGAAGTTGTTAACTGCTTTTCTCAATAAAATTATAAACAGAAAGTCAAAGTTGTGTTTCAAACAGAAACTAGCAAAATTTATGCCTTTAAACATCCTCACTACCTTTCGTTTAGAAAAGAAAAATGAAGTTACTACCGTTCCTTTGATCGATTGTGCTTCATTAATTTAATCCCGGATTATAAATAAACTGCGCATATACAAGCAAATAGAAAAGGGAAGCAGACGCAAAATGGCCACATGGGGACGTACAACTCAACACAATAGTATAAAAAATATCAAATGAAACCATTTGAAAGAATAACAAAAATATACAGTTCAAGATGTAACCAATCCGATCTACGAGCGACTGCACAGTGACTAATTGCCTGAAGTTATTTTTGCACCTCAATGCTGTAAATGAAGAACTCGCCTGTTTTCCGTCTATTAACCAAACTATTTTTGGCATTGGCTCGGTTTTCTCCATTTTCTGCGGCTGGCAGCCGACGGTGATCTGATCAGAAGGCTCGTAGATTTCGCGCACCCTTTTGATGAGTGGCGGGCTGAGGCTGTGGCCTGCACACATAACAAAGACATTCGGTATGGATACTTGGCGCACCCTTTTGATGAGCGGCGGGCTGAGTCTACGGAATGCAGTCATACCAAGGCCGTTGTCATGTATACTTCACGCACCCTTTTGATGAGCGGCGGGCTGAGTCTACGGAATGCAGTCATACCAAGGCCGTTGTCATGCATACTTCACGCACCCTTTTGATGAGTGGCGGACTGAGGCTGTGGCCTGCACACATACCAAAGACATTCGTCATGCATACTTTGCGCACCCATTTGATGAACGGTGGGCTGAGGCTTCGAGGCTACGGAATGCGATTGCATCACAAAGGTCATTGTCATGTATACTTCGTGCACCCTTTTGATGAACGGTGGGCTAAAGCTGCGGCAAGCACATTTATCATGTGAACTAATCATGTAAACATACTTCGCAACAGTGAACAGTGGGCTATAAGGCAGCTGCATGTACAGTGTAGACTCAGTGAACTCATCATGAGACGTCCTGAAAATTGGCTGCCGAGCAAGTGAGCGGTCACAGATCATCAGGTCGTGCATAATAGAACACATTAGGATTTACAGCGATGTGGCAAATGTTATTATGTAACTTAGATTATGTACATTGTTTACGTTTTATTAACTCCATGCTAATGTTCAACAGGTTGGAAATAAAAGATGTCCTACGTTTCGATTAGCTATTGTATCTGAGAATTATCTACTCAAAAATTGAAACGTCGCAAGTCATAAAAATTGTGAACTATAAAAAAATGTAAGCTGTAAAAAAATTATATAAAAATTTAAACTACGCGTACATGTAAGAAAGTTTTAAATTATCCATTCGTTTCTGAAGCGATTCACATTTTATAGTATTAACTATAGCATAATTCTGACAATAAGGTTGGTCGTTGAGAGATAAACGTCCTATTTAACAGTCACATTTAGGCAATTTATCGTATTTTAGATGCGAGTTTCAAATGCGAGGAACCCTGCTATCGTGACCGTGGCGCGTGGGTCCAAATGAACAATAATTATTCTGTGTTAATAGCTGCTGATTTGCTGATTATGGCAAGTCTTGTCTTTATGCTCTTACTTTTGATAATTGAATGCTTTTGTTCAGAATGATTAGTGGAGAGCAGCTGCTGTGAGTACTATCAAAGCCGGTGTTATCACAAGGCACGTAAATATCGCTCGAGTCGCACGCTATATGAAAGTCAAGGCACTCATTATAAAACGTGGCCCGGGAGTTCAATTTCACTTAATGTTTAAATAATGTTTCGTGTGTGTTTGGTGAGAGATAGGCTGACGTTTAATCACAGTAACTAGATTCTGCTCATGTCTCGACGACGGGGGCAGACGAAATATATTAATGATTACATCTTTAATGCCATAAAAGCTTCAATGCTTTGCATGCTGGGGCTCTAAATTTATCTATTGGTTACTGTAATAGGATCTTATATTGCAATGCAATAAGCACATAGATGAATTTGATTAGTGCCCAGGGTGCTGGTGCTTCCTGTTAACTTGTTCTAATAACAATTGCTGTCAGTAGGGTATCGTTGCAGTATATAACGACCCCCCTCACTGCTCTAAAATATACCAACAGGCTCTAAGAAATTTTAGGCGTAGGTAGTGTAAATCTTTTGTCCAGCTTCCTTAATTTTTAACGCATTTTCTCTTTTATGGAAAAATTGCACTATTGTGCTCGCCATGTCCGTCTGTCTGTCTGTCCGTCCGTCTGTCCGTGACCTCAAGTTTTCGTCGACGAGAAAATGCGCTCTCTGTCACTCACTGCAGTGAGTGCTGAGTTATATTTTTTAATATATGTTGCCTACGTAAACGTACAAACACTTTCATTGTTCGTACTTTTGAAAAACGATACACTATCCTAAAATTTTTCTATCCTATTGCCGTGACTAGTGAGTTTCACACCGCCTAGGACGCATGCCCCTTCAATTTCCATGAATGACCCCAAGTTTTCTCATCCACCAAACATTATTAACAAGAAAAAATTTAACAGGTTTCTCAAATTCAGATAACACTCCATTTAAAATCGAGCTTCTCCACCGAATTACGTTGGTAGAAAAAAATCTATTTTTCGTCATATGTGAATAGAAAAAATTATGATACACTTACTTTTTCTCTCGATTCTTTACTTCAATTTCAAGCCGGCCAAACATTCATTCGACTGCGAGCGTCCAAATCTCTGAGTTATTATTACTCATATTTTATATTATCAGACTGCCGCCAATCACCAAAATCTCTGTTACTTATATAGGATATTTCTGTTCGACGATAACTTTCAAATTGTGCTTCGTTACTCGCTTTTATTCTCATTAGGGCTGATACACGATCTCATCTTTGGCAAGGCCTGTATTCGGCACACAAGTTGCCTAAGTCAAGCTTTTCAGGCCGAAATTCGTAACACCGATTGACTTATGTGAGGCCTACTAGTTCATATAAATCGCACAACTTACTCCTCAGGGTAAAATATAATTTTATTTTTCTACGAACTAATTTTAATGTTAAACAACAGGGGACATTAGAGCTTGCATTTGTTGCACGTATTCATTGAATTTCTCCGAGCTGGCATTTTTGTTTAAAAATTTGTGGTATAGAACCATTTACGACTATTTATAATATAATATATCCACGAGTAAAATCCGTATGATTTGCTATTATTTCGACTCACTAATACAAGTATATAGCACTCACTGAATATCAGAGCGCCACAATGGACACCCACTGAGGACGGTCATGTAGGACTGTAGGGACTCACTGAGGACGGTCATGTAGGACTGTAGGGACTCACTGAGGACGGTCATGTAGGACTGTAGGGACTCACTGAGGACGGTCATGTAGGACTGCAGGGACTCACTGAGGACGGTCATGTAGGACTGCATGGACTCCGTCCTGAAGGAGGGATGTTCGGCCAGCACCTCGCACCTGTAGGCGCCTGTCGCCGCTGATGTCAGACGACTCAGTGACAGCGTCACATGACGAGCGTCCCGCGACACCTCCTGTTTCGGCGTCAGGAATATCACATTAAGTCATATTACTATTACAGAGACGCCTTCTTAATACTTGGCATTAAGTCAAAAAACAATTTTCAATATTTTTTGCGTTTTTTACAATAACATGGCATATTGCGGTATAAATGGTGGCCACGTTTGAATGCGTAAAAGCTGAATATGTAGCTAAACGTGAGTTTCGGAGTGTCAGCATGAAATTATTAGTTACTTTCTTATTGGCAGGATTATCTACAACTAAAGGTGGGAATTACATATGGTAACTTGTAATGTAATTGCACATGGTAACACTATATTTACAAAGTCTTCTTTCAGTTGTCCATCCAAGTAGGTTCTGCAATAATCCACTCACGTGTAGCGTGAATATATTGGTTGGTCCTATATTGACGGGCCCATTCCTCTCTGTAGGCACGTATCTGTAGAACTCGGTGTTGTTGTGATACCATTTGAGGGAGTAAAGTTTACTGCTGCCCATGTCGTAGACGCAGCGCAGGGTTACCGTCCCTGACACGAACGTAAACTGCGGCACCTCCAGAGACTTCAGCAAACTGCCCGCGCTGCCTGCAACGTAAGCAACATTCGCGGACATCAGAAAATAAACTGATATAAAAAAAGGAGAATTCATCTCAAAATTCTCAACGTTAGCTTTATTCTACGTTTAATTTTATTAACAGTGCAAAGGAAAGACGGTCAATTTTTTATTACAACACTTCTCTTTAACTTCACTTCTTGTTTGTCTGTCTGCTACAAATCTAATAATCGAAATTTAACACGCTTCTACTTATCCTATCGATCTGAAATTTTGCACACTTGCGCAAAGTTGGAGACAATGCATGAATCAATAGACAAAATAAATAATTTTAAAAATTAAATTTTTTTCAATATAAAAAAATTGAAAAATTAATTTTCTCTGCTACAAATCTTATAATCGATATATAACACACTTCTAGCTGTCCAATCTGTCTGAAATTTTGCACACTTGCGTTAAGTTGGAGACAATGCATGAATCAATTGACAGAATAAATAATTTTGAAAATTTAATTTCATTTATGTATTAAAATAATCAAAAATAAATTTTTTTTGGTATTCGAAATTAAAATGAGGAATTCATTGTACATCTTTTTTGGAGACACTGGATTTTTTAGGAGTATTGTCTTTAAAAAGTAATTTTTAAACGTATATTATTTCATTGACGTTCAATTAATTCTAATTCACAATATAACAGTTCGGTGAATTGCTAATATCTCTAGTGTCGTAAAGCTTACAGTCAATTCGATAAATAAATTTTATTCAACAAATTAATTTGTACTCAAAAAATACATTGATGATGAGCTCCGAAACATCAACAATTATTACATTTTACATTTTAAACAAAATACGCCAACTTGTGATCAAAAGTATCCACATCAACATTGCCTTGAACACATACAGCCAATTTCTGCCATTGTCCACGTATCGGTCGTGGCGATAATAATGCCACAGAGCTGTCATGCCATGAAAATAAAGTTAAAGCATAAAAAAATTAAACTAAGATAAGTACATTCTTATATACGGATGTTTTCTTTTTAGCTCAGTTGGTTGAAGCGATATCTCTAACGTAGGCACTGGCAAATTAGACGAAAATGCTCACTGCTCACGGCTGCCCTGGCGCCGTTTATTTCTTCAGTAGCTTTAACAATTTGCTTAAAAGAAATATATTTTTCCTCTGCTACAACGGATTTCTTTAATTACTGTAGAACTCGAATGAGAAAAAGAGACTAGGTAAAAGAACCCGTGGCTCCCTTCATCCTGATCATTCAAAGAAACGCAAATCGATCACATCTATTTTTCTGTTTTTTTTTTCTCGTCTAAGACACTGTTTATGAACAAAGGCGTTCGATTAAATTCGATGTAGGGGTTGACATTAAACGGTGGTCAATTTTAATTTATTCAGTTTTATTTAATTCTTACTCAGCGGGAGTTTCATTAATCTTCTCAAGCATACCAAAATTAATCATAGACTGAAAAAACAAATTAATAAAAAAGCGATTGATTTATTTTGACGGCTCGTGCACGTAGCGTATTAAAAAAACATTTTATGTTTCAATTAATCCATTAGGCAAATTTACACCGAACCGTCACTAATATGTTAGAGTTACTGGCGAAGCATGTTCGCTGCCGATGAATTCGATTTAGCGCTGCTAAAACCTGCACGTCACCTGAAATTTTATTGGAATTGTACAAGCCGTGGAATGAAATTCCAGGAATGGGATACTGCAAGTCGTCACTAAGCCCCTTCCTGATCTTGTAGCCTCGCTCTCACAAGCTTGTCCAGATGAAGAGGATCAGAAATGTCGGTGGACTTCTGCTTCAGTGCGAATACGATGTGAAAAACGTCTCGATCGACTCCGCTGGTCAATGTCATGGTTCAAATGCGTGGTCAATGTACTAAAGAGAAAATAAACTTTTTCTCAAGATTCATGAAAAGTTGCAATGAAAGTATCGAGAAACAATATAAAGACTTATTACGTAGCATTACAGATGGTATTTCTCATTCAGGTTAAAAGTCATATTTGTCTGAAATTCTTCTGACATCATTTGCACTTCGCATCTTCGTTGTTTTTATGCACAATGAATCCTCCGTCATAATTACATTGTACATTACTTCTAATTAATTGTACATAGCTTCTAATTAATTGTACATAGCTTCTAATTAATTGTACACAGCTTCTAATTAATTGTACATTGCTTCTAATTGTCAGACTAGCGGCTAGTTTTCATTATTATTATTTTTTTAACGGGCGAACAAATCTACTTTATTATTCAGAGTTTGACAATGAAAATAAAAAAACATGACATTTTTCATGCCCCTAATTAACCATCTTTGTTGCATTCACTTGCATTTCATTTCACTAGGCGAGTTTAAAAGAATTTTATAAAATTTTATGGCAGTCATTGCAGTGAATGTCGAGTAAAATTCTTAATACAGAAGTCTGTTTGTGTTTGTGCAAGAACTTTTCCCCAAATGGAAAAATTCTCGGGTTTTTAATGTCTTTGCAGGAACGTTAATGAGTTTTTGCAGTAATGAGAAAGCCGTGGTCATACAAAATCAAAGGTCTGTGTTATGCCTTCATCAATCAGAAGTGTTGGCTTGAAAAATCAAGCTACATTGTCAATAGTGTTTCCCAGGAAAATTAAACACATATTTCCATTCATCATTTCAACTACTTGACCTGTTGCAATTAAACAGGGCTGATTTGTTTATACCTTGCACTTCATTTTTTTCCATTCCTTCACATGTATTCAATTACAAACATCATACACAAAACCTCAAAATACAATTTCAACTCACGATACTAATTCTATACTACATCAAATGTGATCGAAAAAAAATTTCCGAGATACATTAGCTATATACATACTTATCCATTGAATATTTAGCTCACCCATTTTACGCTGAGCCTGTATATATACGCTACACACGTCAACAGCGTTGGTGTTATGAACTGGTATGCGTTTAACCCTCCACCACCGTACGTCACTCTCCGGGAACACAAATTACAACTTAAATTATACGTATATTGACTGTAGCAACATGAAGACGTTTGTACGCAACAGAGAACATTTTAAAGTTGTCGTACGTGGCGGCAAATTATACGTAAACTAGTGAGTGTAGCAACCTGAGGACGTTTGTACGCAACAGAGAACATTTTAAAGTTGTCGTACGTGGTGGCAACCATCAGTGCACGTCATTTTGCGCTCACTAGAACGTATCCTTTTTGGGGAGTAGGCTTGTGACAATATTGCTCCGGTTACTCGTGTCAGGCGATAGAGGGTTAAGCAGGGAAACACTCTTTACCGGCTGGCATGTATAACCAAATAGCAAGTTCTCGTGCAATATTTTTCGTTCGTTCATCTTCCTAGAAATTTCAATTAATATTTTTCGCTGACAAACGCATACTAGGTTGTTCAGTATTCACAGCACGCAGCGGTTTACCAGCTTACAAACTGTCAAATATACCTCATCAGTGTCTTAAGAAAAAGCTAGGCAACATTAGCTACCTAGATAGATTAACATTTGACTTCTTAGATGCCCTTATTAATTCATAAAGAAATTATCAATAAAATCACTGAACATTTATTCAAACAATCAATGAATCTGTCGAATATATTCATGCCCTTTCAACAGGGAAGAAGACGCAAACTTACGTGATCGAATGAATTCAAATACTGTATATACCTAAATAAATAATAAAATAATTAACTACCACACTTGACTCACACAATACACGACCAAATTACGTCTAATGAAGCGGGTGTTACGAAGAGAGTATAGCATCTTTAATGGAGAACTTTGAGTTCGGCGCACACCAACACAGAAAATTCAGACACTGATGACATATTTAATAAATAATTAATTTGTTATAACTAAATATGCTCTTAATTTTCTAATACCAAATTTTACAATTTATTTGGAAAATGTTTGAATTTAATTCATACAAAATTTTTCTGTGATTCCGCAACAAGCTGTGGATGTTCTACAATATTAAGAATCGGCGACCGGCCTCCGGCCTAATAAACGCTGATACCGCTATATATAAAATATATAAAAAAGAGACTCAAGTCTGACGAAGTGTTTCGTTCTAGTTGTCGTGCACCAAAGCTCACTGAAACGCAGGATATGAGCGCCGGGCATTTTATTCTTCTAGCATCCAACGTGCAGAACCAGAATGGATCTCAGCGCGTAGAGTCTCTAAATGCTTCACCAAGAGTTAGGTAATCCTCAGGCTCCAAGATACTGGCAGGGACCTGATCTATATCTCATGCTTTATTGGTCGGACCTCAGGCATATTTATGCTTATGAACGACATATCAATAGTGCACGTTCTGAGTCACGTCGGAAGAAAAGCGCGCTCTTCGGATTTCCCATGTCGGCTGTTTCTGGGGTCGTTGATTTTGATTTACAGAGACAGTCTGATTTCCAGGCTTGCCGTATTTTATCTTTTCGAAAAGAATATAGCATAAAAGTAGCATCGGTACATTTAGCGGACTGAGCTTTTTTGTATTTATGGCAAAATAAACTGCTATATATAGACTGCAATTAATGAATTACTAAATTGATCGATTAAAGAAAAACTACTGTATTACAGTCAAGCAAAAGCTTTTTAAAGGAGGGTAATTTGCTTTCTGATTAAATTCTGCTTGTACTGATCAAAACTGAAATCATATCCAATGCGTTTGTAATTCAAGTTCTCAATAGAATCCTTGAACTAATTCTTTCAAATCATTTTATACTCTCATTAAAAATTGTATCATTCTTTTCATTCAGATTAATTTTCGAATTCGTTCGCTATTTACTAAAGAGATTCTAATTCTTTTGCTGGCATTAATTCTGCTACCCACGAGAACGGTGTGTTCTGCTGGGCACTTTTCAATCATGCATACCGTCGCCCTTTTGTAGGCAGCCACAATACAGCACTAAATTAAAAGGCAGATTTCAAAGCCCTGTGCAAATGCGTCAATTTTGCTCTCTGAATACAAGTCACAGAAAAAGATCTCAGTTTTAATTCAATATCGAAGGT